TCCGCGCCTGTCTAGCCGCGCGGCTAGGATCCGCTCGGTGAGTTCCGTGCCGGGTCGGGGGTTGGGTCCCCCGGCTCTTCTGTCGGGATTGGCGCTCGCCCACCCCCCCGCTCGCTGGCCCGCAGTCTCCCACTCGAGCTCCCGCATGCTTCGTGGGCTCCGGCCTCTGCTGTTTGCCCTGCCTGCGCCGAATGGCTTTTCTGGGATGGTTTTCTTTCCACCTGTGAGGCAAAATTCAAATCCCGGGTAACAGCCGGGCTGTTCTTCCCCTCTTTAAATAAAAAGATTTATATGTATGTATATGTGTATGTGTGCATGTATATATGCATATGTATATGTATCTATGTATGTGTGTATATATGTATGTATATGTATGTGTGTGTGTGTGTATGTATGTATGTATGTATGTATGTATGTATGTATGTATGTATGTATATGTATGTACATACACACATACATACCATAGAGCTTGGGCCTTGAAGAGGCAGCTGGAGAAGGGCATGCTACTAGATGTAGAACATTAATCAGAGAGATCCTTACGACACATATGACACAAGGAGTTTAGATTTAAGGCCTTGTGTGACACTGGCTAGAAGGGGGTATGCAGGCCCTTGGCGGGTAGCCTGCCTAGTGATGGTGAAATTGCTGGGTGTCAGCCGATTAGATATGAATGGATGTTGGGACCAGGAGAAGGAAGGGGTAAGGGGCTTCCCAGGTCGACTCCATTTCCTGACTCCTAGGAAGAGAAACCTTGCTGTTTTTTTTTTTCTTTTTCTTTAATATATATTTTATCGAGGGTCTTGTGTTTTAGTCTTTGTCCTGGGATACTCATTCTTAGTTTTGTCAACGTTGATGTTAAGTCGCCTTTCTCAATATATTTGACCATGGTGTTTTTTATTTTGTTCTCATACTAAGGCGAGTTGTGAATCTGATGGCATGGCGTTAATTACCCTGCGGAGAAACTTATGTCATATATCTGATTTTTGGATACCTGGATCTGTGGCTGCTTTGAAAATTTACCCTGCCGATAATCACGTCCGGAAGATAGTCAAAGATCGTCTCCGGGTTTGGTTCTGTTCCCTACAACCCGAGCTGTTTGGGGTCAGGTTCCATCATTCCTACTGTAAAAACTTCCACTCAGAAAATGGCAATGATCTTCACCCAGTTGCCGAGCTGTGGTTCTCTGGAGAACGTAAGTGGAACAGGCCGGAACAAAGTCTTAAGAATGAGGATGAAGAGACACCTTACAGGAGACTAAACAGCTGCACCTCCCCAGAAGAAGTGTTGAGTTTCATAAGTACCCTGGACACTCTGCCAGTTTCTGTGGCATCAGCAGCCTTACACAGGGTTTGTGAGGTGGGGAAAGGATATGACGAGCAAAGGCTGCCAAAAGGAATTTTAGAAAACAGCATCTTCCAAGCTTTATGCTGTCAGTGTGAGCGGGATCCCTCACATCTGACCAGTGCTGGCTTGGTGACAGTTTTGCAGTCTCTGCCCGTGGATCCTCCAAGTACCTTAATGCTGAGCCTTGTGGCAGAATGCCAGCGTCGTCTCCAGGGAGGCCGCTTGGAAGCCCACCATCTTTGTATGCTTGGGGAGAGCCTGGTTAGACTTCAAGGTTCAGGCTGTGAGGCACTGGAACTGGTTCTTTGTCAACTGCAGTGTGAAAATTTGAAAACGTTTGCCCCAGAGGACATTGTGGCTGTTTATAGGATTCTGCAGGCATGTCCTGAAAAAGTGGACAAACACCAGGCATTTCTAAATGCAGTCAACAACTTTACCCTCTCAATAGTTCCCTACCTGAGTCCCAAGTCCGTGAGCCATGTGCTCACTGCCTTGGTGGCTCTTGACCAGACTCACGCCCTTCCACTGGTTATAAAATTGGGCAAGTCCGTTGTGAGATACATTCCTCGTTTTACTAACGAAGAGCTTAGGAAGGTCTTGGAGGCCTTTCTGTATTTTGGACACAGTGACAGGTTTCTCACGGAGGCGTTAGAGCGGCATGTAGCTGCCCTGTGCCTCTCCCTGGACCCCGATGTCATCAGCACTGTGATGGAGTACTGCAGTAGAAAGCGGATTCTTTCTAAGCCCATCCTCAATATGGTTGCTGAGACTTTTGTTTGCCAGTCAGAAAAATTCTCACCTCGTCAGATTGCTGAATCAATCGAACCGTTTGGAAAACTGAATTATTTGCCACCAAATGCCCCTGCTTTATTTAGGAAGCTGGAAAGTGTGCTGGTCGCTCGTTTCCATCATTTCCCACCACAGTTGCTACTGAAGCTTCTTCATTCATGTTCGCTAATTGAATGCCACCCGGTCAACTTTATGTCAAAAATATTCAGCCCCTTTTTTCTTCAACGGCTGCAAGGTCAAGGTGAGGTGGTTAAAAAATTAACTGTTGTAACCTGCGATGTACTTGAGTACTGTTTACATTGACTCATAATTCTAGGGTCATCGAAAAGCATGTACCTTAGGAGTGAATGAATTGTTTTATGGTCATAATCCCTCATTTTGCATGCCAAAATTCAAACTCAACCATGTATTTTTTTTAGGTAAAGAGTCATATTTGGACAAAGTGAGCCTGGCACAAGTCACCCAGCTTTTCATGACCTCAGTCCTAGAGTGCGCTTTCTATAAGGTGAGAAGAGAGACAGGTGGTATGGCTTTATTTCCTCTGGAGATGCAGATCTGTGACTTGAGCTGGAATGGTCCCGTGGTATGGCCTTGTCTTTGGAAAATGTCCCTTTCTGTATTCTTGTCTTCCCTGCTGTGTAGTTCCTTAGATTTCATCAAACATTCGAGGTTCACTACTCCATACTCCCTGGCAGGCTCTTCATACTCCATGTAGCTGTTGTGTGGAGTGTCAGTCTCTGGACTGAACAGACACGGAGTTATTCCCAAGAGCCTTCTTGAGCCAAACCCAAGATTTTGCTGTAGTTTAGCTGGAGTTCACCTTTCCCACACAGCACTGTCCTCGTAATGAACACACCTTGTGTAGAGTTGGAAATGACATCCTCTGGCCTGGCTGCCTCATCGGCCCCTCTCTGCTCCATGCAGCTAAGAGTGGCTGGTTCAAAGAATGATGTTTATGAATAGAAACCATGACTCCAGTCTTTAAAGTTGCTTGGGTTGCTCTAAAGTCTGTAAGGATAAAAGTTCCCTCCACCTCTTCTACCCTTGAAAGAGAAGTGTGATAAGCAGTTTCTCTGCCCAGGTTTAGGTAAACAAATGTGTGCACCCCATCTGCTTTTTTTTTCCATTTGAAGTGATGGGGCTGACTAAAGGACATGCGGTTTGTTTTTCTGCATCCTGCGGCCATTCCCAAGTCCGAGATGCAGAGCTTGAGTCAAGGTTTTGATTTTTATGGCATTTGCTCTGCTAGTCCACTCTCAAAGCATTTCAGGTTTTTTTTTGTTTGTTTGTTTTTAGTTTTTTTTTTGCTGGTTTATCTCTGTCAGCATTGCTATAATAAACATCTTTGAATGTCTCATCATCCTAGAGCCTTTCTAAAAATCACTGAACTTAAAAGTGGGGTTCTTTAATAAAATTTGGATAAAGGCAGGGTTTCCCCCTAGCAGGGATACATGTCATCTTTATCCAATGGTAAATGAAGATGACAGCTATGACTTGCACATGCCAGCAGCAGTGCTATTAGTCCTTTGAATCCTTGTCATTTCTCTACTGTTCTAGAAGGGCTTTCATGTGTCAGTAATGGTGTTGAGTGTGTTTCCAGATGTTTAGTGTTCATTTATGTTTCCTACAAGTTGTCTCTCTACAGCTTTAAGAAGTCAGGATGAGACAAATTAACAGTTATGAATGTTGTACGTGTTTTTTTTTCTTTAATTTTTATTGTTTTTTATTGTATCTACTTTTTAAATTATCTTTTTTGTTTGTTTTTGTTTTTTTGAGACAGGGTTTCTCTTTGTTGCTTAGGAGCCTGTCCTGGAACTCACTTTGTAGACCAGGCTGGCCTTGAACTTACAGAGATCCACCTGCCTCTGCTTCTTAAGTGCCAGGTCTAAAGGCCTGTGCCACCACTGCCTGGCTGAAACCCTGTCTTAAAAAACACACAAACTAAAACCTTATTTGAGTGTAACAGTAAGTCTTTACTCCAACCCTCTAAGCCCTGCCACCACCTGGGCGCTTGCTTTCTGCCAGGCCTCCTGAGTTCCGCCCACCACCATGTTAAGGTCCCAAGTAACACACAGAGACTTGTATTAGGTACAAATGCTGCTTGGCCAATGACTAGGATTTCTTATATGCTAGCTCAGTCTTAATTATCATAGATCTATATATCTTAATTATCTTATAGAGGATGCCTTCTGTTGGCGCCCTCTCTTGCTGGCTGATTGCATGGCGACTCCAGAGCAGAGACCAGGAGGAAGAGAGAAGGGGTGACTTCCTTTTTGCCCTTGCTTATATATGTCTCCCTGCTATGTCACTTCCTTCCTGGATCACCACTTCTTTACTACATTTCCCAGAATCCTCCTTGACTCCTAGTCCCACCTAACTTGTTGCCTCATTTGCCAAACATTACTTTATTATTTATCATCCAATAAGACAAACACATACACAGAAGCACTTCCCCCAACAGTGGAGAATGATTATGACCTTGAAGCAACTTGTAGCATTTCAATGAAGCTTTTAAAGTGGTGTTCTTGTGTGTTTTACTCATTTAAAAGATATGAGCTATAGCAGTCTTCTGTGTATTGTCATTTTTAGAAAAAGGTGTGCCCATGTCCTAGAAGCATACCATGTATATAAAGTAATTTTGTATCCCAGTAGCCTTCAATTCACCTCTGCTCTTACATTTGATTTTCCTTTCTTGTGCTTGTATGTATGAATTTTAGGGCCCCAAGCTCCTTCCTCAGTATCATGTGAAGTCGTTCCTCACGCCATGCTGCTCCCTGGAGACCCCTCTGGATCTCCATCTTTACAAGTCTGTGGTGACTGGACTGATTGATCTTCTGGGATCGAGATTGTATTTTGCATCAAAAGTGTTGACACCCTATTGTTACACCATAGGTAAGTAGCTCAGGGGTCTTGTCTTGGTCAGATCATCCTGTCCTTGTTGAGCCATACATGGGACTTAAATAGCCAGAGGTGTGAGATGCTGGAGGGGAGAACCTTCCCGAACCTGAAGGCAAGGAGAAGGAAGGGTTGGCAGAGTTGTGTAGAGCCAGGACTCTGAGTTTGAGTTTCACACATTAGCCACATAGAAGAATGTCCTGGCCAGGGGATCTTAACCTTTTTCTGCTTGATCCCTGATCTGGAAAATGAGAGAAGGAACAGTGGCCTCTGATACATAGTTAGTGCTCAGTGATGCTCATAGCTGCTGCTGTGATTTGGGCCTGGGCTGTGTGTGATACCTTTAGTCTGTGTAGCTATTTAAATAAATACAAGTTCCTCATCACACTGATGTGTCAGGTGCTCAGTAGACAGACACGGCTTCCCAGATGGTCACATAGATGGCTCTGGCACAGATCCTCATCTGCTGCAGTTCTGAGTCGGTGTCCTCTGCCCTCACTGTTCTTTCAGGTGGTTGAATAAAAGAAAATCATCACATAAAGAGACAGTTGTTTATGGACACATCTCATGTCTTTCTTTCACCGGGATGTTTTTACAGAACGGATGCTACTGTCTGAAGGGGGGTGGGCTGTGCGTATGCTTACAACCCACATGTCAGGGTGTAGGGTGCTTTGCTTACATGGAAAGAGAGCAGTAAGCAGAGGTGAGGTCTGCGCTGCCTGGTGTGAGCTTCACTCAAAGGGGTTTCTTCACTCGGAATTGAAGGGTTCAGGCCCGTGGTTACATGAGGAAGAGGAGGATGGATATGGCTCTTGGCATGCTGTAGACTGCCCAGAACACTGCTCTGTTTCAGAGTAATTGTGACTGCTGAGTTCAAAGCTGGCTTGCTTGGTCTATAGGGCTGGTTAAGTTACTGTTCTCACCGTTGGTTGTGGCCATTGCTTTGCAGCCTCGGCCCTCCGATAAAGGCAATATTGAAGATGTGAAACCAGCTCCGGGAACGCAGGAAGATAATGTTGTTGAGGGTATTACACGAGGAACTTTTCCTTTTCTTCTTTTTGCCAGATGTTGAAATTAAATTAGACGAAGATGGATTTGTATTGCCATTCACAGTGGAGGAGGATGTCCATAAAAGGTAAAGAAAGTTGTGGGTTTAAAGAGTTGACTTAGCAAACTGATGCTTTTCTTAGGGCAGACATGAATGACTCTGGAAATGAAAACCCTGAACTTCCCAAGACTGAAGCAGCCAGCACAGGGCCCACACAGGTCTGCGCCAGGTCCTCTGTGCCCAGTACAGCTTCTAACTTAGGGTTTTTATGACACTTCCAACTGTGAGAACAAGTGCATCTATGATTCTTTTACCTGCTCTTGGGACTCTTTTCCTCCTGTTGGGTTGCAGTGTCCAACTTGGATATGACAGTTTTTGCTCCATCTTAACACACTTTATTTTGTTGTGTCTGGTTGTTATCTCTTAGAAGCCTGTTCTTTTCTAAGGAGAAACAGAAAGGGAGTGGACTGGAGGGGAGAAAAAGGGGAAATGGGGAGGAACTGAGAGGAATGGAGGGAGGGGAAACTATAATCAGGATACATTGTGAGAAAATAATTGTTTTCAATAAGAAGAAGTACTGAGCTTACCATTTTTAGAAAATCCTTTCCTTTGGCAAACAATAATAGTATTAAATGTTTTCCCAGGGGACTAAAGGACAATCTGTTTATGATTCATTTAAAAACAATATTGACACATAAGAATAGACAAATTCAAATAATCTCTGGCAGCTAGACAAATACTCTACCTGTTTCCTGAGTTACAGTTGCCTTTGCTGTCTCTCAGGGTGGCGCTGTGCATCGATGGGCCACAGCGGTTTTGCGCTGACACTAAGCACCTGCTGGGAAAAGAGGCCATTAAACAAAGACACCTGCGCTTGCTGGGCTACCAGGTTGTTCAGGTATGGCACCTCTTGAAAAACCAGTCTCCATGCCAGGTTGGCTTGTTCAGCTATGTACGCTGACACACAGTACCACTGTGGAGTGAACGGCAAACCATGAGTAGAGAGACGGAATCGGGAGCCCCCAGATGAGCGAGGTGGCAGGGGTGTGGACAGCATGGTCCCGCCATGACAGCTGCCCTGTCTATTTGCAGTCTTGTCCGTACGTCCCTAGTTATAGTTGTGCACTGCCAGCTTAAGTGCTGTTCTGTCAGCTCATGCACAGGCAAAGGCCCCAGCTGGGTATGGTTTGCATCTGCAGTCTAAGCAAGGGCAGGATTCGTCCCAAGCCCTCTCTGTCTCTGCTCGTGGATTTTATAGGCCCAGCCTCCATCTTAACTTGCTTTAACAGTAAGTGGGCTGACACTCCAGCAGATGATAACCATGTTCTGTCTAGTTTATATCTTAAGTTTACATTACTTGACCTGCATTTTGTAGTTAGAATTTCCAAAGTGGCACATACCTATTTCCTTATCACTGTCTAGAATTGCTAAGTTCCTGGAATAGCTTTTGCTTCAGTTTCTGTCTGATTTAGTGGGAAAATCAAGAAAGGTGGTTCAGGGCCTTCATCTGTCCTTAGTGTTTACAACATTATGTTTTCAATGGGCACTTTGTAAGGTCCACTGGGGATTGCAGTAGACATGGACACGCACGTCCCCATTGCAGTAGACATGGGCAAACACATCCTCATTGCAGTAGACATGGGCAAACACGTCCCCATTGCAGTAGACATGGGCAAACATGTCTCCATTGCAGTAGACATGGACACGCACGTCCCCATTGCAGTAGACATGGACAAGCATGTCTCCATTGCAGTAGACATGGACACGCATGTCCCCATTGCAGTAGACATGGACACACATGTCCCCATTGCAGTAGACATGGACACGCATGTCTCCATTGCAGTAGACATGGGCAAACATGTCCCCATTGCAATAAAGTAAACATGGACAGGCATGTCCCCAGTTGTATTAACACCACTCTGGCTTGCTGTCTGGTGCTTTTCCGTGGTACCGTGCTCAGTCCTGAATTCCTTTTCTAAAAGCTAGCCATGCAGTGTGTGCTCAGAAAGTTTCTTCATTGCTTTAACCCAAACCAGAGACTTCTGTCTTAGCATTCAGGAGCATTCATTTTCCAGTCTGCACACAGGCGGGCCCTTCTGACACATGGCCTGCTACCTAGCCCGTGTTCCCAATGCTGGTCCCCACCCCCTCCCTCCCTATTCCCTCTTTCCCCATCCTTCTCTGTTCTCTTCCCCTGCCCCACCCCCTCCACTCTCCTTATCTCAAGCCCTCCATTTTTCTCCACTTTCTCCCTCTGCCCTTGCTGTTTCTGTAGCCAGGTCTGTCTCTGGCTTTTGTGAACTCCAATGGTTCATCGGCCCTCAGCTCAGTTTCCCTTCTTGTCCCTTTGCAGTTAACACAGACACCCCACCTCCACTCCCTACCCCCACCCCGAGACTCAATCTTGAGTATAATGAGTAGACTTAGCTCTCACATCCTCTCTGCTCCCCTCTGCCACCATTGCTCTAGGTGCTGGGAACTCCTCCAGGGTCAGGAGTCAGGTGTGACCTGAGTGAGTGCTCCCTCTGCTGGAGGAGGGGGTCAGACACAGCAGAGGCACAGCAGAGTTGCTTGGTGTGGCATGCTTTAATGGTTTCGTTTCCCCTGACAGGTTCCCTATCATGAGCTGGAGTTGCTTACATCAAGACTTGAATTGGTGGAGTATTTACAAAGGAAACTATTTTCTCAAAGCTCTCCTGTCCATTGGTAATAAAGGAAACCGGCTACAGGATTCAAGAGTGAAAAACGAGACAAATGACTCTGCTAGTCAGCTACTGTGTGGAAATGCATTTACAGACTTGGGGTCTGAAAAGGGCCTGTGGCTGTTCTATACCGTGTATAAGTGTATTGGTGGTAAATTACTATTTATGTGTGCATTAGTGGGAAATTTAAAAACCTAATGGCGATGTCATAGGTGCCTTGACTGAATCAAGCAGGGTCATTCAAACGCAATAAAGCCATGTAATGAGAAACAGTTAATTGCATGTCTTGTTATTAGGAGTTGTCTGCCAATAAAGCCATGCTCTTAGAGGTGTTTGGGTCAGGAAGACATTTTATCTTTCACTTCCCTTATTGGTGGGAGTGATACTTGGTAAGAAGGATGGGAGTGAGAAATCAGAGCTGTTTAGGTTGGGTTTGGGGGACTCCCAGAGGGAGTGAGAAAGAGTTACATTGTTCTGTACATCGGTGGTCCTGCTTTGTCCCGGTTTTTGCAGATTCAGAGGACACATGTGGGAGGCATCTAGAAACTTGGGTTCCACCACAGCAAGTCTGTGGCCTTACACAGCGGCAGGTGCAGCTTACCTCTCTGCCGAGCACTTTGACACCAGACTCCTGTGTCTCTGCTGCCTATGGGTTTAGGTCATTTTGCATTTTTCTGAGTAGTGGATTAGCTCCGAGAGGACGCATGCGCTAGTGATGAGTCCTGTACTGTGTCACTGTGGCCTTGATGAGTAACAGCATAGTAAGAATCGAGGTTCAATAATCCTGGAGCCTGGCTCATTTCAGCTTCCTTACCTGCTCATCACGGACTTCTGTTCAATCTCTGATAGAGAGTCCTGTGTTGTGGGGCGTCCCTCTGGCCTGCAGGATCTGAGCCACAGGGAACACTGATGAAAGTAGCCTCAATTGACAAACCTGGCGTTAATCACATGGGAAGAGGGGCCCTCAATGGCCCAGGTCAGACTTGCCTGTGGGAATGCCTGCGGGGCATTTTCTTAATTACTAGATGATGTAGAAGGGCCCAGCCTGCTGGGAAAAGACTGGCTGAGCAGGGAACCAGGGAGCAAGCCAGTGAGCATCTTCGTCCATGGTCTCTGCTTTGGTTCCTGCCTCTAGGTTCCTGCTTGAGTTCCTGCCCTGGCTTTGCTATGGACTGTAACCTCTAAACACGTACTCTTTCTTAGACCAAGTTGCTTTTGGTTGTGGGCTCATTTCAGCAATAGAAAGCAAATTTGGACAGGTTTTCATTGTATATCTTAGGGATACTGTAACAATACTAAAAATAAAGTATGTGGGTCATAGCAGTCCTCGAAGTTTGGAGGCTCCAAGTCCAGTCATGGTGTCGAGATCAGCATCTTTGAAGACTTTTAGGAGAGAATGCTTCACCGCTTCATCCCTTTTCTAGTGTCCCTAGAGTGCCTTAGTTTGTACTGGCATCTACACACGACCTATTTCCCATAGGGGTGTGTGTGTGTGTACACGTGTTGTTGCCTTTTCAAATGGCTGAACATCTTCTCATTGAGGTCTGTGTGTTTCTGCTTCTTTGCATGACCCTGCATCCTGGTCTTTGTGTGGTATTCTTGTAGGGCTGTGTCCACACTTCCTTAGAAGGATTTCAGACATGTTAAGGCTTATCCTAAGAAAGTTACATCTGCAAAGACTGCACTAGTAATATAATATTTACACATACCGGTGTGAGCAGTGGCTCTCTGTAAGCACATGTAGAACCCATCTGCAAAGGTCACAGCATGATTTGTTGGCTGTTTTAGATCAATGTGGGGAGTTGGGGCACAGGGACCCTGGCTGCTGTGCTTGGCACAAACAAAGCAAATCGGACACTCACAGGAAAGGAGGCTAGAGTTAATCCTGTCTTGGTTTTAAAAAAAACAAAACAAAACATTAAACCTGTAAGTGTATGTGTTATAAAAATAGGCTAGGTAGTACAGTTTCTGGCTTCAGCAAGCAGTGTGAATTAGGCAAACTGTCGTAGTAGCAAGTTCTCTACAGATTGAATCTTCCTGTCTCTGATCCTTGTGTCTGTTTGCTGTGGCAGTGAGCATTTCCAGGTGATAGCCAAAGAGTATGTATTTCACAACTTTAAATAAGGACTAATATTGCTATATTTACAAAGTACAGAGAAAATGGCAAACTGGTGAAAGTTGTTAGGCAAGTGGACTTTGGAAGCCGCAATGATAGTCTCTTAGGCTATCACTAGGTGGCAGCAAAGTTTATGGTCTGACTGAGCTGCAACAAACCTGAATGAAGCATATGAGATATAGAGGAGAGAGACAGACAGACACACAGAGAGAACAGACATGTGCATTCATGTGTGTGTGTGGCACACTGAGGGAGAAGGTCAGAAGTAGGAAGGCAATGAGAACTAAAGTAAATTTTCCTTACATTTGCTTCCTTCTTTTTGCCTGAACCAGACCTGGATGGGCAGGAACAGGAATTATACTGGGATGAAGTGGTGTCTGATGGATGGGAAATTAGATACAAGAATCCTTCCTTCCTTCCTTTCTTCCCTCCTTCCCTCCTTCTCTCCCTCCCTCCTTTACTCCCTTCCTTTCTTCCTGATTTGGCTGGCTGATTCATTTGTGGGCAAGTGTTTTCAGAAGGAAGAAGAAAATTGGGTAAATTTTAGGGAAACAAGCAATCAGGTTCCTATTTAAAAAAAATATTCTTACAGCTCACTTGCTGGAGGAGTGCTGCAAATCGAGAGGGGAAATCTTGGCTTCGGGTAGTGAACTAAGGCTGAGATTTTCCCAAACTGGAATTCATCAGATTGATGTGGGGTCAACAGGTGGTGTGAGATGAGGAGAGCACATGCACCATAGCCCAGCACCTAGAAAGTGGTAAGTGCTCAGTGAATATTGGGTGCTAGTGTGTTGTGGTATACATGCCACCTTCCTCAGATAAGCTGTTTCACACAGCTAATAGTGAGGGTTGGTGAAGGAATGTCTTTAATGGGGGAACACAACCGCTTGCTAATAAATGCCTCTGATTAGTGCTGAGGACACAGTGCCAACAATCCTGTGCTGTTTGAAACCAGATGGATGGAGTGGAACATTCTTCAGTGGTCTGCAGGATCTGAGCCACGTGGGACATCCCTCTATGGCCTGCAGGATCTGAGCCACGTGGGACATCCCTCTATGGCCTGCAGGATCTGAGCCACGTGGGACATCCCTCTATGGCCTGCAGGATCTGAGCCACGTGGGACATCCCTCTATGGCCTGCAGGATCTGAGCCATGTGGGACATCCCTCTGTGACCTACAGAAACATCCTTCTGTAACCTGAAGGGACATCCCTCTGTGACCTGCAGGGACATTCCTCTGTGGCCTGCAGGTTCTGAGCCACATGGGACATCCTTCCGTGACCTGCAGGGATATCCCTCTGTAACCTACAAGGTCTGAGCCATGTGGGACATCCCTCTGTGACCTGCAGGGATATCCCTCTGTGGCCTCCAGGGAAATCCCTCTGTGGCCTGCAGGATCTGAGCTACATGGGTCACTCTGACACAGAAGTGGCCTCAATTTTCTGACCATAGACTTAACTAGGAAGATTAGGGTAGAACCATTCACAGATGTAGCATCGTCTCAGTAGGCTAAGTGTTCACTCACAAGTTGTTCTGCTTGAGTCTATACAGCCCAGCCTTACTGGGTTTTACGGCCTGCCTGCCACCTTTTCCCGGATTCCAAGAGAACTCTGTCTATTCCTCACATGGCAAATGACTATACTTCCTCCAGTGTGTAGCTTCCCTTGCTCCTCCAGTCAGAAAAATCTAACTTTATGTTAATGTTCTTTGGCTGTTGGGGATCCATCAGAAGAAACTTTGCCTGCATGCACCTGGAATCTCATCTCTCAGAAAAACAAACACCTCTTCCCAATGTTTCCCACAGTCTCTGGCACACAACAAACTGTCTGTTGGCTGAACTGATATTTTGGGCTCTGCGTTTGCAAGAAATAATATCTCTTGGTAACCCCACTGTTTTTAAACTGCTACTATGGAAAATTTTTGAACACACATAAGGGCTGAAACAATTGTATAATGGATCCATGAGTCCTTTTATTCAGCATGACAAATTACCATAATTTTTCAGTCATGTTCCATCTATTTTTTTTATTGGAGTGCTTCTAGAAAAACCAAGCTATTATATCATTTTGCCCTAAATACTTCAGTGCACATTTATAACCATTTTTCTAACCATTCAGCCACTATTTCAGCTAACAGAATTAATAATTGCTTTCTACAGTTTCATATCAGGACAATATCATGGTTCCCGTGCTGTCTCTATGCTTTGTTGTGCTTGAATCAGGATGCAAAGTCCTCATATTATTTGTAGCTACGAAGCACTTATGTTTTTGATGACTACAGCTACCCCTCCTCCACCTGGCTTTCAGAGCATTAATTTATTGGAGAAATTAATCAGCTACCATGTAGAATGGCCAACATAGTTGATTTACTGTCATCTAACCTGTCCCTATGTCTGCTGCAATTCCCACTGAGTGACACCCAGAGTTTAGTTTAAGGTCAGTTTCAGTCAGTTCTCACCTGTCTCTGTCTCTGTCTCTGTCTCTGTTTCTCCTCCCTCTCTATTAACCTTTCCCTGATTGTAGCTTAGATCCATTATTTGACTAGTTGTTGCCCAAAAATGTATTTTTTAAAAACAGGTTTTCTAATCAATCATTCCTTTTGATTACCTTGCATTTGTCTTTAAAGCAGAAAGAAGTATGATGCTTAAGTTGCCAAAGGACTTGATCAGTTCAGTGAGTCAGCTAACTGTAAAAGCCAGTGACCCTCATGCTTTCTACACCACTGACAATATTTGTCTTTTTTTTTTTTAATTTAAGGACAGGAAATCTAATGAGGTAAAAGCTTGTTCAGCCTGACCATGAACCCTGGCCCATGTCCTGATTTAGTTAAGATGGGTTTGGTGGACAACAGCTCTCTTCTTGTTAGTCCTCATTTTTTCCACAGCTTGGGCACAGACTTAGAGACTAGTGTGAACATGTTATTGTGCCTGTATATGTGACTTCATGATGCCCTTTAAATCTGCAGGGAAACCCAGCTGGGCAGCCCTTCTCTGAGCTACAAGCATGAGTGCATGTAGGTCCATCCCTTAAGACTCCAAGCGGACCAAATGTAGAGGCGTGCTTATGCCAATTAACTTTAAGATATGTTAGATGATGTGAATTAAAGTCCAATTACATTGGGCCACTTAAATGAGTTTATGTTGCTATTTTAAAACACAATAACTATCTGTCCCTAGTTATGTAGCTTCCCCACATCTCGGTTTTATCATCCATCTAATGAGCTGGATGGGTTTTCCTAGCCTCAGTGAGGGTGCATGACAATTCAGCATAAATATAGAATGTGTGCCGCTCATGACGTGCTGACGTTACAGCTAATGAGACCAGACAGCAGTCTCCTCTCGTTTCTCCCTCCCCTGTCTTGGGTTAGCAGGAAGGTGTCTAACCAAGTCTCTCAAGAGAAACAGTGCAGGCTTTCCATGGCTGTGTGGGTCCCATGACCTCACCTCTCTTGACTTGCCTGTTTCTCTGAATTCATGGAGCCTTTCTTTGGAGGCACGCAGGCAGCAGGGTTCTGGTACATTTAACACTTCGGTGTCAGGCATACAGCCATTAGTATGCACAGTTTCCACATCATCAGAGCCATGTAAAAGGAAGTGCAGAATGACAGTCCTGAGCAAGAGAGGTAAATAAAACGAGATACCAGTGGCATCTCTGAGAGGAAAGTCTGTGCTGTAGGGCTGGGACCTAGAAATGGCACATCCCTGTGACACTGAGATTGGCATATGAAATAAGGTTGATCTGATCTCCGTGTGTTTGTCTCTATTCTAGTAACATCCTTTTAGAGGGTCTTCATGCTCCCCCCACTTCCTGGCATGGGGCTTTGCAAGTTAGGATGCCAGGGACTTAAAACACATAAACACATTGACATTCATCTTGTTTGCTTTCCCTAGAATTCCATTCAGGTACCTGAAATATACCATGGGGTCACACAATTTATTTTGTGTATGAGGTGTTAAGACCTCAAGAGTTGAAAGTTCTGTTTGTCTTTCTGCTGTTCTGTCCACCTCTCACAGCCCCCCTTGCTTTGGATTTAAGTGCTGCTGGTTCATTCAATGGAAAGGAAGGAGCAGGAACAGCCCATGTCTATGTTGATTACAGGTACAGCCCATGTCCATGTTGTTTGCATGCAACCTCTGAGGTGCTCTCTGGGCATGGCATGCTCCACATGCTTGCAGTGGTGATGTGGATCCTATCGGCTTGCATTTCAAATGCCAACCTCAGTGTTAAGGGATTCGAAATTTCCAGGTCCCTGCCCAACACCAGGGTCTGATATATGGCCTCTCCTGCTTCTCAGTCCTTCCAGCCACCCCCTCCCTCCAATAACTCCTGAGCATCCAATGCCTGGTTAGAGTCTTTTTTTTTTTTTTTTTTTTTTAGAGGAAACTCAAGCTAAATGAACAACATCAAATACTTGCTGAGTATCTACTGAGCTATCCACAATAAAAAAAGATGTGAGTAGCCTCGCCCTCAAGAGCTTTCAGTCTAGAAAAACAAAAACAAAAAACAAACAAACAAACCCACAAAATTGTTGCTTGGTCAACTTTGGCCAGAGTTCTAAATCTTCTCCTATTGTTTAGCAATATCCTGTGGTTCAAACGTTCCATTCTGGAGGGGGGTCTCTTTAAGATCTTCAAGTTCTAAGTTGAAATATTCCCTCCAGCAAAGAAAGGAAAATGCTCATGAGCTCAGGAAGTAAACAACTCACAAGTCTCACAAAGTTCCTGTAACTAATGAGATACACACACCATCTCTCTAAGGTTATGGAAGCAGTAGGAAGTTGCTGGAGGAGGAAAGAGTAAGTGGAACTGCCTGGAGAAGTCTCTCTAACTGGTGGAGCTGTCTAAATCATATGTTCTCCAGGGTTTGAATTTTGTGAGTGGTCACATGTGTTGGGGTGGACATTTTGGTGATGTCTTTAGTTGTCTCTGCCTCTGTAGGTCACCCATTCCTGTATAAATGCCTTTAAATAACCCCAACAAACTCAGTTATTCTCCAAGTTGTGCTTTGTTGTGCTTGTTACTTTGGTCCACAATCTGAGGTGAATAGTTGTTTTCTCTCTTATACATCACCTTCTCAGGCCGCCTGTGTATTTTCTTAGCACAGTTTAGCTTTAACCAAAGAACCCAAAGTCAGTGTAGCAAGAACCAACCCCCCTACCCCCTGCTGCCTCCATCCTACATCTGGTCACGCTTTCCCACAATCCTCCAGAGGATACCTGATCTCTGGTTTGTATTCAGCAGGCATTCTGCTATGTCAGTTTAGTTTCCCCTATATTTTACTTTTCCTCTTAGTAGATTCGTACTCACAGTAATCTTGCTCCCTGGTTCCAAGGCCTCACTTGCCCATGTTGACTGGATTTGAAGTTGAGCTTGATCTTATTCTCAGGCTGAAAGACCCCGCTGTGGTGGTCCCTACATGGACAGTCACAGTCCTGAATAAAACCTTCCTTCCAGGGCATACTGGTTCCTCTCTGTTGCTGTGATTAAAACACTCTGGACAAAGCCACTTAGGGGAGGGAAGGTTTTATTCTGTCTACACTTCCAGGCCACAGTCTATCCCTGAGGGAATTCAGCGCAGGAGCTCAAAGTAGAAATCAGAGAGGGATTGCTGTTTGCTGGCTTGCTTGCAGATTCTGTAAGCTGTAAGGAGACACACAGTCCAGGGCCAGCTTCCCAGGGAACTGTGCATGTACGTACACAGGCTGGATCTGCCGACATCAGTGAACAATGAAGATGATCACCCACAGGCATGCCAGCAGGCCAGCCTTTCTCAGGTGACTCCAAGTGATGTGGCACTAACAGTTAAAAGCTAACTAGTCAGCGTGTTTAACTAAGTGTTATTATCGAAGTGTTCTTTTACTAACAACAAAATGTCACCTACTGAACTTGCAGCTAGCAGAGCGACATTTGAATGGCTGTGAATAGAATTTTTGAATAATAGAATTTGTTCAGCTAGAGCAATGCTGGAGCTGAGTTGTCACCCAAATTGGTATCAGTAACCTCCACCTTCCCGGGTGTGTCTGGAATCATCCATACAAGGCTCCTTGAAAAGTCTCCTGGGCCCCCTCTGGCCCCTCCTGCACTGGTTTTGGAAAGTGGGAAAGGTTGAGAATAGATTACAGAGGTTTTTTATTGTTGTTTTATTTTGCTAATATTTTCATGGGGACAGAAATATTATCAGGCGTGCTTTCACAACTTGTGCTCATGGGAGAAGGGAGATGATCCCTTCTTCTTCACATATCTCCAAGCTCCAGGGAAAGGTCCACCTCGCTAAGTGGTTCCCAGCAAGGCTAAAGCCCTCGAGACTTTGGCTTATGGTGGGAAAGTTCCTGGTCTTTTCTCTGACTCATGCTTCACTCGGGCAATCTGCCAGGGGAGACCGGGGGGAAAGGAAGACGTGGGATTCCTATAGCTGAAGAGGAAGAGTGGTCAGAGCTGCCTTAAACCTCATGAACAGTCATTCTCCCCTGCCCTGCTCCTGTTACTCTCCCAGCCCACATGTGAAGCGTATCTACCACGGCAGGTGGAGACACATGTGTGCCGCCCACTCCTCTGTGCCTTTAACTTTCCATTATTCGAGTCACACATGTGGCCCTCACGTTTCTGCTGGATCGCTCTGTCCTGGACCTCTGCAGCCTTCTCATCTTTGTTACCTGACTGCTCCAGGCTGTAACCTCCCTGTGACCCAGGGCTGTTTGTTTCAGGGCTGTACCGTCAGATCCTGATGCATAGAAGCTTTCTGTTGTAACCTAAGAAGCTGAGAGCTGCTGGGGGACTTGGAACAAACTGTGCTGGGAAAGCCCATGTAGCGGAATGGGTAGACGTCTCCTACCTGCAAAGCCAGCCACAACGGCTGGCAGGTCTCTCCCTGGGTGTGGCGAGAAGGACCTAGAAGGAGGTGGCAAGGGAGGCAGCCTCGTCACTCAACGGATGCTGAGGCCAAGGCGCAGTTGCCAGGCAACGGCTGAGCGCAGACGCCCAGAGGGACGCAGAAACCCCACAAACTGATGCTTGAGGCCTGGGCTCCCTAGGCAGAGGGACCGGCCAAGACTGAGTAGCGGGCCATGGACTCCCGCGACGTGAAAGAAAAGGAGGAAAATGGGGGAAAAGAGGAGGAGGGAGAGGAGGAGGAGGAAGAAGAAGAAGAAATCTCTGCCTCCACACTGCGGAGCAAACCCCGACCTCTGCCCATCTCAGCTATGCCAGCTTTCAGCTACATCCCGCCGCGGCGCCAGGGCCCCAAGGAGCTCAGCTACTTCAACCGCGAGTGCCAAGTGAGCAGGTCCAGCGGAGGGAGGAGAGGGGCGGGGCCCGCCCTGCGGGGGCGGGGCCTGGAGGCTGCCAGGGATGGGATGGGGGCGGGGCTTCAGTGCTAAGGAGAGGTCAGGGACTGGGCTACATCACTGGGGCTGTCAGATAGTGACAGGGCAGGGCTTCTGGAATAGTGTGACACTGTGGCCAGTGGGCTAGGACTGAGCGCTTGGGGTAGTGCCAGGGACAACCTGCCAAGTGTTGGGGACAAGGTACAAGGGTTACATAGCCAGTGGCGTCAGAGGGTAGTGACCAGAACAAACTGTACAGAGCTGTAGAGTCCAGAGGAATTGTATGGGGGGCGGGGTATGCTACACCGTGGAGGGCATGGAAGCCACCTGGCTTACCGCTTACAGGGCTGCAAGTTTGAGTGTTGCTAGGGTTGAATACATGGGGCAGGACTCCATGCGACTGCTTATGAAGGGGCTGGAGGGTGATATGCTAGTGGGCCAGGCATGGTTAGCAGGCAAGAGAGGCCTTCAACTGAGCCGAAGCACAACGATCCCAAGAATATGGCCACCACAACCGGATGTAGGCCCCTCAGGAAGTGAGGATGGGAGCTGGGAGGAGGTCCGAGCATAAAAGGATCAGGCAATCAGAGCCCTTCCTGGTGAGCTGGCCAGAGGTACGTACCCCTCTGGGAACAGCGGATAAGTCACTAGTTGTCTGTTCTCTAAAAAGCTAAGTGACTACTACAAGGACACCAAATCACCCTTTCTGCCCAGGATCTGTTGAGGTGGGGCGGGGAAGGGGGGTAAGTGAGAACCAGGGATGTTCTACTTATGGTGGTTCAACTCCCCGTGGCTGTCTGTACCAGGTCTTGGGTAGCAGTGGAAACAAGCCTTAGGCCCAGTTACAATGCCGGTATGGTTCAGGGTGTGGGAAACATCTGGTCTCTAAATGGCAGAGACAGTAAGAGTGTCTTAGGGTGACTGTTGCTATGACAAAACACCATGACCAAAAGAAAGTTGGGGAGCAAGGCCTTTATTTGGCCTGTATTTCCACATCACTGTTCATCATCAAAGAAAGTCAGGACAGGAACTCAAACAGGGCAGGAACCTGGAGGCAGGAGCTGATGCAGAGGCCAGGGAGGAGTGCTGCTTACTGGCTTGTTCCTCATGGATTGCTGAGTCTGCTTTCTTGTATAACCCAGGACCAACAGTCCAGGGATGGCACTACCCACAATGGACTGGGCTCTCCCCCATTAGTCATTAATTAAGAAAAATGACCTACAGACTTTTCTACAGCCTGACCTTATGGAAGCACTTTCTCATTCCAGTTTCTATCTTCTCCAATGACTTTAGTTTGTGTCAAGTTGACATTAAACTATCCAGCACAAAGAGTGTGACCAGTGAGTGCAGAGAGCTGGGATGGGAGCTGTAGTCAGATTCCGGCTTGCTGGTCTTGGGCATGACTCTGTGGTCTAAGGTGGCCACTGTGCACTCTACACCAGCCACTAATACAGAAGAAGCAAATTGAGGCTGTGTGGGGTCATTTGTTCCTGACTAAATATCATCAGCCCATCCTGCTTAGGATGCCAGATTCAGGGTGGCATCATGAAAAAGAGACATTAAATATGGATGCTTGCCCCCAAGAAAGAATTCAGGACCTGATTACCCATGTTTTTTTTTTTTTTTGTTTTTTTTTTTTTTTTTTGTTTTTTTTTTTTTTTTTGCTGTGGCGCTGCATGAGTTGCCCAGAAGAGGGGTGTGGATTAATCAAGTGCCTGGGACTTTTATTCCTTCACAGTGTCTAAGGTGCTCCTACATAATGCATCCTTCCTACCCTCCCACCAGCCATCCCAGAGCTCAAGTGAATCCTCTTCCCTTCCAACATGCCAGCAGACTCAAAGTGTCAGGCACTCCAGCAACAGGAACCATTCTTGCTGTAGGCAACTTTAGTGTCTGAACTCTTAAAAACTCCTGTTGTAGGGTCCCGATTCCAAGTGCTGCAGAACGCAAACTTACCTGGAGGCATACTTCTAAAGTGGCAATCAAAATGAGGTGATCTTTTGGGGTGGCCCTTAATCCAGTATACCTGAGCAGGGAAGCTTGCACAGACAGACATGCACAGAAGGAGAAAGATGTGAAAATGTAGAGGGAAGGCTTGTGAGGGAAGGACACGCTACAGGCAGTTTGGAGCACAGTCTTCCCTCACAGGCCTCTGTAGGAACGGCCCCGGGAACTAGATTCCATGCTTTCAGCTTTCAGCTTCCAGCACCAAGAGACAATGTATGGTCATTGTTTAAGCCTCTTCATTTGTGAGGCTGTTTCAGCAGTTCTAGCACAACCAAGTTAGCAACCACAAGCCCCAACTCACTCCCAGAAGGGTCTCTTATCCAACAACAGCATGTCTGTTTACGGTTGAGCAATGTGGAAAGACAGTAGGATCAAGAGGGGAGGCTTTTGTCATCAGATCTGTCTCCTCAAGCGTTGGAAACGTGCTGGAATTTTTAGAAGGGATGGGGTGTGTAGCTGTGGCTTTTAACCTCATTGTTGCCTCGGATCCCATTCTGTGACCAATATTCTTAAACTGGTTGGCCGGGCATGATGGTGCATGTTTGTCCCCCAGCACTTAAGAGTCTGAGGCAGGAGAATTCAAGGTCAATTTGGGCCACATCATGAGACCTCTGTCTACAAAGCTAACCAAATATATAAATAAACTCCGATCTGTAAATAATTTTATCTACTGAATGAATTTTACGTAAGTGTCCAACACCTATAAGATAGCCAAATTAATGATCACAACAGTCTTAGTGCACAGAATGTGACAAACAGCCAACAAGGTTGTGTCTGTGTAATGGAAACTTTCATAGCACATCATCTTTAGGGGTGTCCCCCAGACCAGAGGACGTCAGTTTAAAACGTTAGCAGATGGGGCAAGATAAATATACATTAGAGACAGAGGCTAACTTGCAGGGTGGAGCTAAGGATTCTGGGTACATGGGCATGAAACTATTTATTGACCACTCTTGCATTATTTATAATAAAGTAAGCAATGTACAGCTAGATAACATTCTGATTACTACAGAATTATTTTCCTAGTCCCCCTCCCCCCACTGAAACTCTAACCCAATACCAGACAGCTTAGGTTTACACAGAGTGGACTGTGAGGGAGGATATTGTCTGATTTAGAGGGCATAACAGCTTCTATAGCTGGAACTTCAGGACTTGGGTGTTTGATGGGAGGAACGGGAGGGACACACATTGAAGCTCTGGCCCCAAGAGGAGACATTACATCCTCAGCCTGCCTGGAAGGCCATTAATAGATTCCAGAAGTCCCAAAGTTTATAAAATTACTACAAAGCAGGCGGCTTTCTGATAAAAAACCAAGGACATCCCCCACCCCCACTCCTAAAGCCGAATGGAACAGGCTGCCAGGCATCTGGACGGAGAGGCCTTAGGGAAAGGTGTTTGCTCCACAGACTTTAGAAACACTACCGAGGCTTCTGAATGTGCAGACCAGGGCACTTTCTCTCTGGCCACCATACATTCTCACTCCTGAGAACGTGCTCTCCTCTCCTCTGCCTGTCTCCCACACTGCACACTGTGCGTCTTGTCTGTATTATTCCAATGGAAGACGCAAAGATCAGACATCTGCAGGGAGACCAGAGCAAGGCTGAGTTTGGGCAAAGAAAAATAATATGCAGATCAGTAACTGAGATGTCAAATTTTGTTCCCCTGCTTATGCTAGTGGGCCCTCATTTGGCAGTTCATCTAATCACACGGACTACATTTCCACCAGCGACCTCACCTATTCAGTACACAGATTTCAACTGTGCATAAAGGAGCACTTCCCTAAAGGAACCCTCAAAAATCCGCTTAAGCCGGGCTTAGCTTATTAGCCCAGGATCTGTCTGGCTCCCTTGTCTAGGTGGGGAGTTGTTGGTAGTGGTAAAATCAGTCTTTAAGGAATTTTGTAAATAAATATTGTGATGGTACAGATAGGAAATCTGATATGGCTGTTTCTGAGTCGCTGCCTGAGTAACGGCTGAATCAACCATTGGATTTGAAAGTTTACACTTTAGGTACATCTTGAACTGAAGCTGAAGTGCTCTCCTGGCTTGACTAGCTCGATGGAATCTAGGAGCATGGGCATGATTTTGTTGCAGTGGATATTTAAGAACAAAAACTACTTACATAGATATTTTATGTAGACACACATAAACAAAATCGTAGCCGGTACTTCCTCATACTAGTTAAGAATAAGTTCTGATTGAGGAATCGCTAGACAACTTCCCAACACTGAGAAAAAGCTGTTCTCCAGTGAAGAGAAGCTATATTGTCTGATAAGGGACAGCCCCAGGAAGCTGTCCTCTATGGAAAAGTAGAGTGATGTTTGATACAAAACAAAAAGAAATCCAGCAACGGTTAATACTTTCAAAACCCACTTATCAAACCTGATTTCCATTGGAATGTAGCTATTTCACACTATCAGTTCAAAAACTAAGATATCAGACCCCTCCCCCCCTCACACACACACAGTTACTGAGCCTCCTCTTCTGGACAAGGGTGCCAAGTCAGTCCCTCTTCCTGAAAAGCAGTTCTAATCTGAGCACACTTCATGTCCACCTGAGATTATCACTTCTCTCTGCTGTCTGTGTTTCCCCTCGGCTCCCTGAGCACCAGTACCTCTGGAACAGGCTCGTGCTTTGTCAGCAGCCCCTCTTTCCATCCTGTATTTGTCAGTATCAGATTCACTGTGAGGTAAACACTTCCTTTTTGTGTCAACTTTTCCTTTAACATCGGTTGTGAGAATTAAGAAATATTTCTATTTGTTCTAGATAATATGCATCATTTTCAGGTTCCTGCAAACTGTCAGCATTTGTCCATCCCTTCCCCTCCACAAAGGCCCTGCCTCTTCATTTATTTCATGCAGGTCCAGCCCCCCTTTCCATCACAGCTTCTTCAGGCTCTGCAACTTTGACAGTCTTCTTCTTCCCATTTTGTTTCTTTCCCACTTT